TTCAAAACACACTTTAAAATAGCGTTTTAGTTGTTTAAAAATGTGGTTTTAATCTTTTGAAATTTTAAACATTAGTAAGTTTAATTTCTAGAAATAAGTTAACATTAATGCTAACTTATTTAAAATTATCTTTTGTCCCATTCACGCTCACAAACGTGATTACTGCTTTTTTTTGCGCTGTTCAACCTTTATAACCTTAAGAGGCCATGAGCGAGAGCGCTTACACCTTTTATTTAATCGGCAAGTGAACGTAAACTACCTCCTCAATATTTTGCGTTTGCGTACATACATTTGTTGAACCCTTCCCGCTCCTCCCATATGCACTCGTGCGCAAATTAATCAACTTGGGACACCCCTCATCATCGATGCGTACATTATGAATGGATGGCCACAAAGTCGAACACCGGTTTACTCGAACTTTTATTATCTCGAACTGTTTCATTTGTTTACTTGAAATCGATTACTATTAAAATTCTCCGGTTAAAATGAACCTGGTTAACACGATTTTTGTCAAGTCGAACCATTTTCTCGTCCCCATCAAGCAAAATTTTTCAGATAACTTAAACATGTATAAGAAGTAAAGAAATTGACATAATTAAATTAAAAAAAGCTTATTCTATATAAAACATAACGGTAGCCTAATAAATTCTTTATTTTTATGTTGTATTTACATCTGAATAGAATTGATCGTTATCAGACGTAAAATAACGGTAATAGTAAAAGTAATATAGATACTAGCGATTTAAATCGCGAAACAAATATATGGTTATAAATGCGTTAAACAAATTTCACAAAGTATATAAAATATATAAAATATAAAATAATTTATATAAAATAATTTACAATTTGTTAGAAATTAAAGTTAGGTATAAAAGAATTATAGATAAACAAATTTCACAAATTTATAATAAAAATCTATCAAGTCTTGCTTAAAAAGAGTTCAAAAACTGCACATTTACCACCTCAATCGGCAATGCATTCCATTCATTCGCAATACGGTAACTAAAGAATGATTGTTGAAACAAAGAATGCTTGATACTTTCTTTTTCAATTCTTAGATTATGACCTCTGATTGCTGATGCTGGTCCTTTTGCTCGTAATGACGGTGCAAATTGTTGTGGTTTACACCATGTAATGTGATCTATATTGTTAGTTTGTACTCTTATATTAGATCGCCGCGCAAACACCTAGTCTCCAACGTAGTCGATTCCAGTCTCCAACGTAGTCGATTCCAGTCTCCAACGTAGTCGATTTCATTTTGGATAGTCGCTCGTCATAACACAGATGTTTTATATTTTGTATCAGTTTGGTTGCGCGACGTTGGACTTTTTCTAGTGTTTCAATGTCACCTTTCAAAGTAGGATTCCATACAAGGAATTGCTAACTCAATGTGAGCTCTAACTAGCACGGTGCAAAGAGTACGAATAATTTCTGTATTTAGATAAATTAAGGTACGCTTGATGACTCTGAATACATTTTGCGCTTTTGCTGCTGCTGCGTTAACTTGATAATGCCATTTGATGTCTAGTGAGATCAACACACCGAGGTCACGTTCTACTGTTGTTTTTCCAAGTTTTTACCGAACATAATTTCTGTAATCGTATAGATGGTCTAAGGGTTCTTTTTGCTAGTATGCATAACGTTGCACTTTTTTTGTTTAACCCCATGAAGCATATAATTGTCCATTTAACTGACTTGTTGATATCCTTTTGCAAACAGGTTGCACCCGAAATGTTTTTTTTATCGGTTTTATTAGCTTGCTGTCGTAAGCGTAAAGTTTGCATATACATTTTAGTGTTTCTGATACGTCGTTGATGAATATCAAAAATAAAAGATGTCCAAGAAAAATCCCTGAGGAACGCCACTGAGTATGTTCAATCATGACGATAAAACTTCTCCCATTACAACACGTTGCCAATGATTGGGTAAAAAAACGTCAATCCGTCTCAACAAAACACTGGATATCCAATATGCTTCTCACTTGAGTGGTAGCCTTTAGCGCGGCACCTTGTCAAAGACCTTGCTGAAATCGAGGTATATTATGTCGATAGGACACTTGCACTCCATGTATGTTGTCAAAAAATCCATTGTTTCCAGTGCTATTGCTACACAAACTAATTCTTCCAAGATTTTGCATGGAATTGACGTTTAAGACACTGGTCTGTAATTTAATGCTGCATATAGGTTGCCATTCTTGAACAACAGGGTTATAATTGCTTCACTCCAACTGTTTGGTACTGTGCCCGATTCGATTGTAAGGCTGAATATGATTGTTAGAGGCTTAGAGAGTGTTGAGGCACAACGCTTAAGTACATACGGACTCACCATACTACTGCCCATCGTTTTGTTTTCGTCCAATTGATTTAGTTTATTTTTTACGTTCTCCAAAATTAACGCATTCCTCCAGTCTTAATCAATGTCTTCATTTATTACTTTATGGAATTTCGGAAGCGCTGTATCTCCCTTAGACACAAAAGCAGATTGAAAACTTTCATTCAGCCAATTGAAGATTGTTTCCTTGTTGACGATTATTGCACGTGCATAGTCTCTCAACATTTGCAACTTGTGTTTCAACTTTGTGTGTCTTTTCGCATACAAATAGAATATCGGAGGATCAGTCTTTATTTTGTTAACTATTTTTTTTTCGTATTCGCTTACTGATTTCTTTACAGCATTTTTTACATTGTTTTTTTTGTCACTTTGTATTCATTTAACAAATCGAAATTTTTATTACTTGTTGCTTTTAGGCGACTCCACTGTTGTTGTTTTTTTTTTTTTTGTCGCATAACTCCAGTCTATATACGTGGATCTTTTATGGTACTTTTTATTTTGTTTTGTTTGGGTAAAATATATGGCTGATACATGCTGTTTTAATTTTTCAAGAAGATTTTATAACACTCATTTGCTGATTTTCCTGCAAACTCCTTCTCCCAGTCAAAACTCTCTTATCCCAGTCAAAACTCTCTCATCCCAGTCAATACGCTCTAGAGCTGCATTCATTCTTTTATAATCACCTTTAATGTAGGCGTATGATTACTGAGATAGATTTCTCTTATAATAGTGCTGTTTGTGATGACGCTCCATTGAATGAAATTGTGTTCCTTATTTATTCATCCTAGTAGTGGTCCTATTTTCATGTCTAGCACTCTTTCATTGTCGTCCGTTATTACAAGACTTAGTATGTTTGTTTGATTTCCATTCTCATTCTGAAACATTGGTGCGGACACACACTGGTGGAGATAACTTTTGTTTAAATTGTCAACAAAGTTTAAGCCTAATGACTGTTGCCTTTCACACTAATGCACAGATTGTTAGATCATTCAATGTTAGGGTAATTAAAATCTCCAACTATAAACATACCAGTGAACTTTTTGTGATCCACTAGATTTTTGGCTTCTTCTATGTTTTGGTTTACGTTCATCCACTACTTGCTTTCGTTCGATTCATTGAGTGTGTGTCAAATCGGGATTAATGAATGCTGTAAATTGGTAACGAACGCTCTCTTTCAGGTTTTTTTTTGCTTTCAACACCATTGCCTAGAATTCAGTGCTCTCTAGTTCAATAATCGTTGGACCTGGTTTATTCACTGATTTTAACCTGTGAGTTTTTGTGATCTTGCTATTGTTAAGGTTTAAACACTCAAACACTCTTTTTATTTCCTTCTTGTTTTCATTTTTTTGGGTCTATTTCCATTGTTTTGGTATAATAAAATGCTAAAATGCTATAATACTTGGTATAATAATGCTATATATTTTTATTTGGTATATATAATGATTAATATTTGGTATAATAATGCTATAATAAAATTGTTAAAAGGTAAACTTTGATAATACAATTTTATTAGGAAATAAAAGAAAGTCGTTGTATCGCTATACTTTTTCAAATATTATCTTTTGAGTGTACTGCATCAATACAATCCGTAGCTTCTTTCATTGAAACATTAGCATAGTTGTGTAGTTTTAATGTATAGACTTGTATAAAGAAAAATCGCCTTAACTGAAACTATTATCTCATAGCTCGTTTTAGTCGAACCATTTTCCTTGGTCCTTTAGGGGTTTGAGTTATCGATAATTAAATGTATTACAACTTTCTCATTATAAAAGTATCTTTTATTCGCGAGGAAAATGTCATAAAATAGGGATCATCCATTAATTACAAAACGCTAAATTTAATTAACAAACAAAACAAAAAAGTTTTCCTTTGCATAGTCTTTAATCGAACCAAAAATTAAAATAGGTCTTTAAGTTCAATAAAAACTGCGGCGCGAAACAGAAAATGATATCTAACTTTTATATTTAAATTATTAAAGCCCAGTGTAATTTATGGATAATCCCATATCGAAAATTATTTAAAACCAGTAAAATATTTCAGACGAATTTTGTATACTCGTATGATCTAAATACGTCTTTCAATTAAATTCGGTTTTTGAAAATTCGACTTGACCAGTCATTAATTTGTAAGTATTAAAAAAAGAAAATGTTTTAAAAACTTTTTTTTTTACCAAAAGAATGTTAAAGAAATTTTACCTTGTGGGCATTTGATTCAAAAAAGTATTCATTTAAACGTGTTAAGGACGGTACGTTTTTTAAACGTTTAATTTTGGGTTTTACTAAAAACGTAATTGAAAAATTTTTTCAAACGCTTTTAATAGGATATTATCGTTCAGAAAAATGTTTTTTTTATTTATGTTTTCTAAAACGTTCACGTGCCTAAAAGGGATTATCAAAAAATTTTTTTTCTATATACCCTTATTAAAATTTATATAATTTAAATATTTAGATTATTTGTTAGTCTTAGTTTCAATAAAGTATTTAAAGCTCCAGAGACAGTGAAATAAATTGAATTATAACTATTAGAATTCATATAACTTTAGACAGAAGTAGAGCCTGATTATCTAAAATACTTGATATATATATATATATATATATATATATATATATATATATATATATATATATATATATATATATATATATATATATATATATATATATATATATATATATAATATATAAATAAAAAATAATAACCTTTAATAAAATAATAAAAACATCTTTATTAAAATAGTGAAGACTTGAGTATATCAATCTTTATATACTCAATTTATTGAGTATATCAAAATTTATATACTCAATAAGTAATCTTAGAATAATAATAATATTATAAATCAGTAATATTAGAATACTAATATTGTTATAATAATAAAACAACAAAAACAATAACAAAACAAAACAAAAAAAGAACCAGAAAAAACAGACAAAAATAACAACACTAAAAATGTTATTTAAAAATTAAAAATAATAATTTGGCTAATTAGCAGATCCTTATGGCTCTGTTAATTAGTCTATTTGTTAATAATTATATTTATAAATAAAGTTGAAACCAATTTACTAAATGCATTGGACAGCAAACTATTTTTATAAATTCTATCAAACAACTTTGTGTTTCCTGCGGACAAATCTAAATTGTTTAGAAGTTTTTAGATTCTTTAGAAGTTGTATTCAGAAAATACAAAGTTACTTGTAAGAATTTATATAAATAGTTTGCTGTCCAATGCTATCTAATATTAATTAGATATTTACAAATTTACTTAGTGAACATTAAAATGAGAAATGGCTGTTTTTATAAATAAGTGTAAAATTGTGCATATTGGGTGCAGGAATTTAAACACTAAATATTATATAAACTATTAATTATAAATAAAATTTAAACCAATAAAAAAGCCAAGCACTTAATCCAGCAGTGCAAACATGAAATTCTAAATGCCAAGGCTAACTCATTTTCTGGTAAACCCATTGTATAATAAACTTTGTAACTGATTATAAAAGTTACCATTCTTTCTCCAGTATTCATAACTTTGAAAAATGTCTCTAACATAGTAGATAAATTTTTTTTAGATCTGTTTTTTCTCCTCATTATATCGAACTCTCTTTTTTATATCATAGATGAATAGGTCTGCAAAAGTGACAACTTGAAGGATTTTTATTTCTACAAATTTCTACACCTCTTACCTTAAGCATAAAGGCACTAAAGCTGTACTGAAAAGACTTTCTCCATGTTTAAGTTTTTTAATTGTGTTATTTGTATCGTTGCATTTTTCTGAACATTTTTAATATAGTGCACATGCATGAAAATATCATAAATATTTAACAATAGAAGCACCTAAACAACAACCAGTTGAAATAATATTATTTGTATTTGTAACATTTTTGTTATTTTTTTTGTTATTATTTATAATTTTAAACAACAAGTCGTTGAAATCTTATAATGAATATATTTATATATTAAAAAAATGATAATATTTATATATTTGCTGTTGTTATTATTCTATTTTTTAAAATTGTTATTATTATTGTAAAAATCAAATGTTTATTGCATTTTATCTTTTTTTTTTTAAATATTTTTTTTTCATTTTGTTGTATATGAAAAAGTAAATTTTTCAGTTTTTATTTTTATTAAATCAAATAATTTGTAAATTTAGAGATTCATTACTTAATTGAACCTTACGGTCTTCCTAACTGCTATTTGGATTTGGATTTAACTAGCATTGGCAAATTTATGACCTACAATTGCAATGGTGGGTTGAAGTTTTTGCTTGTGAATGGTGATTATTTTCTTTTATATTACATATGTACTGCTTTTACAATATTTTTTAGTATATTATAACAAATTTTTTATTTACTTTTTAATTAGTTATCCTGCTTACTTGTTTACTTAAATTGTGCTTTTGGAAAAAGTTAATTATATTTCGTATAATATAACATGCTGAAGTGTTATTTAATGCCTTCTTGAATATCTTATGTCTTACTAGTTTAAAAGTATTTATTTTTATTTCTTTCCTTTCATCTTGAGTTATTGCTTTTATTGTAATCTGTCATGTTAATAGGGTTATTTTTTATCTTTACAAGGAGGTCATACATAATTATTTAAGAATTTAGTAGAAAAATTCACATTTGAAATTTTTAAACTATTTATCAATGTTATAAATTTATCTTTTTAAAAATGGTTAATTAAAATAAAAAATAAATAAAACTATTTAAAGAAACTTCCAACATTCTATTAAGTTTTTTAATTTTAATGACTAATGAATGAATTTTTTTAATTTTAATGACTAATTTGTTGGTTTTAAAATGTTATATAAGGTTTTAGTATCACCAACTTAAATGATACATTGAATGCTTTTTAAATTTTTAGTTTTTATAAACATCTTGTTTAACTGCTTAAACTAAGTTGGTGTATTAAAACATTAAAACATTTGCTAAGATAAAAATAGTACTTTTTCTATAATGTTTTCTGCAACAACCTTTTTTTTTTGACCTCTAAAAGGCCTTGAAAAGTAAGTATTTTACCTCTCAAAGGCCTTGAAAAGTAAGGCTGCTGCACGAAAAAAAAAGTTAAGCAGTTCTCCACCATGTCTATCAGTTCTAACAGGAACATGGTAGATATGGTGGAGAACTTTTTATACACAAGCAAACATCACTACACCAATTACATCTTCCAATCTTGATAAAAAGCTTTAAAACTGTAATCTGATTTTAAATGTAATCTCTTTTCAAGTACATTTAAATAACTATTTTTCATGCTATATTTGTCTTCCTTAATAGATATGATAAATATGTTCCATGCCATGTATCAGGTATAATAATCATCAGAAATCAAAATTTTAGCTGAGATGGAAAGTATAAAAATTTGGTTTAAAATTTGGTTGGTATAATCAAATCCATAATCAACACTTGAGTAAAATCAAATTTTTGTTTGTATGTAATTTTTTATATAAGTGTATCTTTAATAGGCCATGTATGCTTACAAATGGAAATTAAAGCTTCTATAACTTAAACTTGTTCATAACACATGTAATGCATTTGCTACAAGTTTTCTTACTTCTACCACTACTATTTTCTTCTGAAGCTGCTACCTCTCTACATGCTGATATCCAAATCACTTTAATCTACTCTTAAAATACTACACCATATAAATACTAAAGTTTATATAAATATGTAAAGATATTGTTTGCCAGCATCTAAATAAGTAGCAAATATATACCTTTATATCCATATATATCCATATCATGTATGCATAAATGCATCTCTTACCTAACCTTCTGGATCCAAGCAGGTTTGCAAGTTTTTATTCATAGGTTTTAATTCAATCCTCATTCTACTCTACATTTTTCACCTTCTTGTGCAGTTGCTATATTAAACCATCGTTTTTTTCATCTATTGTACAAGAACATCTTTCTTGAGAACAAATGTCTTTCTATTATACTATTTGGTCAGTGCAGAGACCTCCAGAATGGCGATGCATTTTCATAATGAATTTTGTTTATAAATAAAAAAAGAAAAAATGAAAGAAAAAAGAAAGGATTTAATTAGAGTTATTAAAATAAATAAATAAAATAAAATTGAGGAGAGTCAAAAAAAAGAAGAAAAAAGAAACAAAAAACATAAACAAAAAATAAAAAATATCTATACATGTTGGAAAGTTTATTCCATAAAGTTACAATGTGAAATAAATTTACTTTTAAAAATTAATTTACACGCTGGCTTGTAAGTTTGTTTTGCTGACTTGTAATGCATGTCTGGGATCCGAGATCGAATCGCAGTGAAGTCATAATTTCCTTTTTATTATAAAAAAAGAGGTATACTATCCATAATGTTTGTTTTCGCCCCTATTTCTACCCTTCGTGTGTGAAAGGTTAGTTATCTTTGCCCATTTGGATTATTCTTCAATAGCATTAAGTGGTTACAATAGTTAATTAAGTCTAAAGTCCTAAAAAATTGCAAGAATTTTTTTTAATTTATAATTTTTTTATTAATTAGGTGGTTAATTAATCGTATTGTACACATTAGAATTGAAATAGTTATTTAGTGAGTTATGACATTTGTTTAAACTTAAACCAAAAGGGGTAAAAACTTGATGGTTGGATGCCTAACTTTCTTGTTTTAATGATGAATCAAATAAAAGTAAACTTTACTTCGGGCAGATGTTTTTTTTAGGTACCCTTCTTTAGTAAATCTGTAAAAAATAAGGCTTATGCAAGATGAGTAATATTGAAAACCCAGAACTGGGGCTAAACTACCCCACACCCCCTAATTGAGGAATCCTTTTCCAAATTTAAAGGGTTTACTTTTAGCAACACCTAGCAGAAAAAGGTTTTGGATTTTGGGGCTCTAATGACAGTTTTTTTGGGGGGTCTCCGATCCATTAACAACGGCACTGCTAAAACCTGTTTTTTTGACGCTGCTAAAACCTCCCCTCCCCCATATGCTTTTGTACGCTATTTGAAGACCCCCCACCCCCCACAAATATGCTTGTGTACTTTATGGACGACCCCTTATATTGTTGTCTATGTTTGTGTAATGTTTATCTTGTCATGTATTTGATATATATTTGTTAAATTGTTAAACATTGGTCAAACATTTTTTAAGTTGCATATTTTTAAAACTGTAAATCTATATGTGAATGTATATATTTGTATTTAAGTGTATGTAGGCATGTATGTGTTTTTCTGTGCTACTAGGTATATGTATGTGTGTACGTATGTACACACATACATATATTATTAAATAAATTTGAATATATTATTTTAATATATTAGTAGTTAATGTTAGTAGTTAATACTATTTGTAAACAACCTTGAAATGTAATACCAATTATATCAGAAATATATTGATTGATTTATATTATAACAAGAAGTCAAAATAAAAAGTTTCTAATCTCCATTATCAGTTTACTAAATCTTGTATCTTATCACAGATGTTAAGTCTAAAAGACTTAACATCTGGAAAATCTTTAACAGTGCTATTAACTGAAATAAGTCTAAGATTCCATCTATTCTTTGTTAAAATCTTATTACCCATTATATCACATATCATGGATCTTATGTTATTAGTTCTCCCTTAAATAAGGCAGAGTTATATGCAAAGAGCTTTTTCTCTAATTTGACTACTGAGTCTAATGGCCATATTTTTCCTGCTGTTCTCTTTGCAAATGGCGGAGGTGGTTTTTGATGGTGAAAAGGAAAAAAAAACAGCAATAAAAAATATAAAAACAAGATCAAATAATATAAATAGGTAAAATGATTGAGGAGAAAAAAGTACTAAAAAAACATAAACTACTATAAACTAAATAGAAAGTTAAAAGTTAAAAAAACAAAAGTACTAAAAAAACAAAAACTACTATAACTACTATAAACTTAGTGTATATTGTCCTTTATTTTTGTACGTTGTTTATTTTGTAATGTAATTTTATGCGCTGTTTGCATTGTTTGTTTGTTGTTGTTTTAGTTATAAGTTTTAGTGCGTTGTTTGCAATGGTATTTATTTTTTATTTAGTTTAATGTTGCTAACTTTGTATAGTTAGCTATTGTGTTTATGAAAACAAGTGCCTTATTTTTATTATTATTGTTACTATTATTATTGTTATTGTTTTTTTTTTTGTTTTATTATTATTATAGTTTTATGTTTATTACTATAAATACTATTTTTATTATTATCATTAGTATTTTACAATTATTTTTAATTATATATATAAAGATCTGTATGGTGTTTACTTAAGATTAGTAAAATTACTATATGTAAATATCCATGAGATATTCTTTAGAACATATGATATGATGTGTTCCAGTTAAACAGGTTAATCCTTTTTTTTCTTCTTTGCATATCAACCTCAAAAACTCTTGCCCATCTTTATGTTTTCCTTACTCATACAACTTACAACTTTTTAAGTCTTCAGTTAACTGTTTCCACATTTTTTAACCCTATCTTTTGTTTTCTAGTAACTTGCAACCTCATTGGAAGTGAATATGTTTAAAAATAAATATATGTACATATGGTAGAATATATTAAATAGTAAATATATGCATAACTTTATAATATATAAAAATGATAAATTTTTTCCTAGCCCCGGCTATTAACCCCTACTAAATCTTGTAATTTTGCCCAGATTAGGGACAGGTTTACAAAAAGTCTCATTTTTAGTGTTAAAACTGCATAATGATGTATAAATCTATTCATAATTATTTACGATTGACCATATCTGTAAGTCAACAATTTTTTCAAATAATAGGAATTGTCACATTTCACTGTTTCTTTATTTTCACTGTTGCTTTGTCAAAAGTTTTTCTATTTTTACTTGTAGGAAATGGGAAATAAAATATTTCAATTTTCACAATTGAAATTGTTTTATTTTTCACGACTGCTGATAGATATAAAGCTTTTTATTGTAATGAGATTTTTGTGTGTAAGCTGTGGGTGCTAATTTTTAATTGAGATAAAAGTCAATTAATTGATTGAAGTTTTGAATTTATCCCATCCCAAAATGTTTTCACATTACAAATATTTAAAAATTATAAATCACTAGCAAATAGTGTACTTAGAATTGATTTTTTGTGTTTTTTTATTTATTGTATAATTCAGCACTTAATAATTATTGTTAAAATTATTCATTTTGGTTGTCTATAAGAAAAATTTTAGAGTTGTAAGTTAAATCAATTATGTAGCAGTTGGTTTGGTTTTAATTAAAATTGCTGCAATTGTTTTATTTAAAAATTGATAATTGATTAAAACCACCAAATTCTAAACATTAAACACATGTTATTTAAACTAAAAATCTGTATATTAAAATTTTTTGTTCATTAAATTTATATTAAGAATCAAAATCTCACCTTAAATTAAACAATTGTGAAGCAGAATTTTTGGGTTCTGTTTTGTTTTTGTTTGAAGTTGAAAGTTTATGTTCATTAATTCTGTAAAAAAACCTTTTGTCTGCGTTTTTTTGTTTTTTTGTTTATTTGTTTTTTTGTTTTTTTATTTTATTCTATTTATTTTTTTATTTTAAATTGTCGTTTTAACCATTTCTCTAACATAAACTCCAAACAAGCCTGGAGCAACAAAACCTTTTTTATACAAAGTAATAAGTTAATTGCTACATAGTGAACGTGTTAGGGATTGAACTTATAGCGCCTTGCAACTTGAAACTGAGCAGTCCAACATAACTTCACTTACATATATTTCTTATACATGTTGCTTTATTATAAGTTATGTGTTATTACATTGATATATTCAAAATAAACTTTAATTCAGTTCTCTCTGGTGTATCAAAAAATTCACAGAATAATAAATTTGTAATTGGCAGGATTTTACCACATATTTGTTACTAAATATTACCACTTAGTTGTTACTTTTTTAATAAATTAAATATTTTTTTTATTTAACATATAGGAATAAATGGAGATGGAGTTTCATTTCAATCTCTAGCAGACAAAACCAAATATCTTCGTCATTATTTTTTTGTTCTAAGACTCAATACTTTATCTGAAGTAAACAACAAAATCGGTGATCAACAATTTTATATCCATCCAAGTTATTATGACTCATATGTTTTATTACAATCAACAAATTATCCTCTTAAATATCTTTGGCGCAATAATTTACAATTCAACATAGATGATTACAAGGATCAAGTTCAATCATTATCAAGTTTTAAACTTCTTGTTTGTGGTAAAATATTGAATTTAATTGTTGATAACACTGGCCAACAAAGATTTTGCGGCAAAACATTTGGGGGTCATTTTATAGGTAACTTGTTGCCCTGATTCCGAATATGACCTCCGTTTTCCTAGATTGGCTCTAGTTTTTGAGATACAGGGTGGTCACGAAAGTACATTAATAGCAACAATTTATGTTAGGTTGTAGCGTAATTCACAAAAAAAACACTAGATATATATATCAAATTGTTTATGGGGAAGTACATACAATGCTAATAGATCAAAACATTCAAATCAGTACAATGAAATCACAATTAATGCATTAAAAATTGGTGTCTGTATGATTGTCTTTTGTGTGGAGAATGTGGACAATCACGTTGAAGGCTCCAACAATAGTCAGCCATCATGTGTGTATCCAATCTTCCTTGGTATCTTTTTTCCATTACCTTGATATCTTGATTGAACCTCTCCCCTTGTTCCTCACTATAACTTCCTAGATTATCGGGAAACCGATCTAAGTGACTATGTAGAAAGTGAACTTTTATGCTCATATTAGCTTTCAATGTTTTGAAGTCTGAAAGCATTTTCTGTACGATTTCTTCATAGTTGGGAGATTTATGGTTGCCCAAAAAGTTATGAACAACCAAGACAAAACTTTTCCAGGCAGATGCTTCAATATCTGTCATTGTATATAGGAACTGCTCATCCTTGATGATTTGGTGAATTTGAGGGCCGCTAAAGATTCCAGCTTTGATTTTCTCCATACTCAAGCCTGGAAAAAATCTGCAAATATATTTGAAACATTGACCATCTTTGTCTAGGGCTCTTACAAATTGCTTCATCAGTCCTAGTTTGATGTGGAGTGGTGGGAAAATAATTTTTCCCCTGTCTACCAGTGGTTCGTTAATGATATTTGATGCACCTACAGTCATATTTTCCCTTGCAGGCCATACCACCTTTTTCCAGTGGTCTTCTTTAGCCCTACTATCCCACAAACATATGAAGCAAGGGTACTTAGTATATCCACTTTGCTGCCCTAGTAAGAAGTTTACCATCTTTAAATCAACACATATAGACCACTGGTGCTCATTGTATCTAAGCTTCTGCAACATCATTCTTATATTTTCATATTCCTCTTTCAGTTTTGTTGAGTGAAGTATTGGGATGGATGCATAACTATTGCTATTGTGCAATAAAACACACTTCAAACTTCTCATCGAACTATCTATAAACAATCGCCAATCTTCTGGTCGGTATTCAGGTAACCCCATTTGGAGGAGGAGTCCAGGGATGTTCCTACAGTATACTATTTTTTCTTCTCGAATGAAATATGGAAGAAGTGCTGCCTCTCTTGTCCGAAAAAAAGTTATTTTACATTCGGCCTTCAAACTGTTCTTTTCACTTAGTCTAGATGCTAAAAGCTCAGAATCTTGCTTGGATAGACTTAAGTCTCGTACTAAATCATTGATCTCTTCCTGGGAGAACTGTTGCTGTTTAGAAGTACTGTCTTCATATTCACTACCACTATTTGCATGTTCGCACACCAAATTCTGCATATCTTCTTCATCAGACACTGTTAGATCTGGGAGTGTAGTGAACACTGGAATGGGGACATCGTCTGAGTGTGGTACAGGTCGCCTTGCTGATTCCAAATCTGGATACTCAAATTTACGTTTCTTGAAACGATTGATACCTTTCACATTAACCAAACAAAAATAACAGTCACTGTTGTGATTCTTTTGCTCCCGCCATACCATAGGCACACCAAATTTTAAACCTTTTCTTTGTCCATTTTTCCACTGACGTAAATTTTCGACACACATTTTACATACAATATGGGGAGCCCAAGACTTATCTTGGTCTCCGAGTTTCATTCCAAAGTATGCCAGATATGCTTGCTTCACAAAGTTAGTAATATTTCTTCTTTGGCTCTCCTGGCAATATTCACCACAGATGTGGCAGAATGCATTGGGGTTATTCAAACATCCTCTTCGTGAAGAACTCATTGTGTTCTAAAAACAGGAAAAAGTATATATATATATATATATATATATATATATATATATATATATATATATATATATATATATATATATATATATATATATATATATATATATATATATATATATATATATATATATATATATATATATATATATATATATAAAGGTATGCCCTTTAAAAAGAAATAAAACTATTTTACTGTAAAATATGCATGAACGAAGATATTTGTATAAGAATATATCTGGAACACCCTGTATCTCAAGAACTATAGCCAATCGTGGAAAACTAATGTCATTTCTGAAATCAGCATACCCGATATACTATAAATTCGTAAAAATATCCTCGGCAGCAAAAAAAAAATTTTTTTTTGTTGGCCAGTGTAATAAATGTATTGTGTAAATATTACCATCATTCTTAGAACAATAACATAGTCTTGGATTTTTTTATTATTTCCGCAAAAACCTGCTAAATTTACCATAATATTCTGTGTTAAAACCTTAAAATATTCACATTGTACATTGGTATGTACAGTAGGGCGGGTCAAAGCCATTCTTTTTTTAAAATTTTGACAAGCAGCACTATGTGGAGTTTTTCAATTGGTATAATAAACTTAGTAGACTAAATTTTTTTTTTACACACACACCTAGGGGTTGCACTACACACCCTAATTTTTACACACAAAAAAAATTTTGTAAAAATTTTTTTTTTATGGGTATACATTCTTTCAACAAAAGAACTTGAAGCAAAAAAAAAAATTGTTGATCAATTTCAGCATTATTAACTTCATGCCTTAAATAAAGTTTCAAAGTATGAAATCATGTCAGCATTAGAACTTTTGCTATGCTACTATGTAATTTTTTAGTTTATTCTATTTGTTGCATTTTAGTCTCTATACATAATTTATTCAGTGTCTGTGTATATATTTGTCTTCTTTTTATTTGTTAGTAATTAAAAATAAAAACCAATAATAAGTAACACAAAACACAAGTAACACAAAAAAAAACTAATAATAAGTAACACATTGTATCATGGCAACATTTCATACTTGCAGTAAAACTGACAACTTAACATTTAGACAAGGTTCTAAATTTCCAACTGCAATGGTTCCTACAAAAAGAGATGTTGTAAAATATTGCTACTATGTTCGTAGAAATAAAGAGGCTTAAGCCAAAGGATCAAGTTCTGCTCATAAATGTTACAGATTAATTTCCACTGAAATTGAAAATATTTGGTGTAAATTCAATTTTCCAACAATCGAAACAAAAGGAGTATTCTCAAAAGTATGTAGATTAATGGAAAAACCATCCAATTTAAATAAAACTTTGACTTAAAAGAAATTCTAATTTTTATGACAAATTGAAAACTTTTGTAGATTTTGTAGAAATGTAGATTATGTACTTCTAAAGTGCTAATAAAAGATGCGTTTGTTGGGCAAAAGATCTGCACAAATCAACTTTGACTACTTGATCGTGCCTACACATCTACTTTAAAGAAAACTGAGACTAGGAAAAAAAAATTTGCAATAAGACAAAAACAATTAAATACACATAAAAATGTTGAGAAAGACATTGATAGGCAAATTAATAATAACAATTACTATGAATCTAAGAATAATATTATATTAGATGAATCTAATAATGAATATGACAAGCTATACAAACCTGATGTCTTAAAAAAATGTAATCAAAATAGGTTTCATTACAATGAACTAGCAATTATAGCAGATCATTATCGTGTCAGCTACAGAGCAACTGCTGCTATTGTCAATGCTGCTCTAAAAGACATGGGTATACTAAATGAATCAAATATGTTTGATAGGAAAAAAGTAGAAAGAGAAAGACTTTGTGTTGGACAAAAAAATATAAATGAAAGAAAATGCAAAAATTTGAAATTACAATGTATTGGTTTTGATGGAAGGAAAAACAATACTATAACAACTGCTGGGATAATTAAAGAAGAACATATTACAATTGTTAGAGAACCAAGCAGCAGGTATATATATCATCTAACACCTGATAATAGAACTTCTTGCTGCATTGTTAATAAAATTCTCCATTTAATATTTGAAACTGGTAGCAGCGGTTCTTTAAATGTTCTCTTATGTGATGCAACTGTAGTAAATACTGGGAAATTTGGAGGGGTGATAAAATTAATTGAAACAAAACTTGAAAGACCTATGCAGTGGCTCGTTTGTCAACTACATTTCCCTCTAAACATGTATTTGAGTTGATTGATGGAAAAACTTCTGGCCCTAGATCATTTAAAGGTGAAATTGGTAGAAAAATAACAGAGGACTTAACTAATTTAGCAGTAGTTCCTTTCAAAAAAATCATGGTTCTTTTCATTTAATTTCAGATAATATTTTCAGTGAATTAAGTTTAGATCATTAATATCTTTACAGTATCTCTTTATCTATTTAATCAGGAGATGTTTCAAATGAAATATCTGGTATCTTGCTCAATCTGGTATCTTGCTCAATCCCTCTCCCAGGGATAAGGCAGAGCTGTTTGCAAAGAACTTTTCTTCTAATTCCACTCTTGAATCTTATGGACATTCTCTTCCTTCATTTCCAGTCAAACAGGTTGACCCATTGTTAGACATTTAAATCACTCCGGCTTCTGTTGCTAAAGTCATATCTCAATTAAACTCGTCTACAGCTTGTGGTCCAGACAACATTCCTGTCACAGTCTTGCAGAATTGTTCTCCAGAACTTTCTTCAATTCTCTCTAAACTATTTAACAAGTGTTTGACTGAGTCTTGTTTTCCTGCTTGTTGGAAAATGGCATCTGTGGTTCCAATATTCAAAAACTCTGGAGAAAATTCTGACCCCTCCAATTATCGTCCGATCAGTCTTCTTTCTGTTATTAGCAAGGTCTTTGAGTCTTTAATCAACAAATTCCTCACATCTCATCTTGAGTCAAATAAACTGCTGTCAGACAATCAATACGGTTTTCGATCCTCTCGCTCTACGGCCGACTTGCTAACTGCTGTAACTGAAAGATTTTA